ATCAGTTGAGGAGGAGGAGTCAGTGGTTAGCTTGCTGATGGCGCTCATGGTCGCTGCTTGAAGACGATAGTTTTTGAAGTTTTGAAGATGGAAGGGCTTCAAAAGGTGGTGTGGATTTGTTGACGCAGCAAAGTTGAACTCCGCCGTTTCCACNTGTTGACGCAACAAAATAGAACTCCGCCGTTTCCAAGGCAACCGAAGCGAAATCGAAGCAAAGTCGCACTTTCACTGAACTGATCCAGCTAAAGTCGACGGTGACGATGATAATAATTCTTGATCTTTGCAAAAGAAGGGGCGATAATTTGTCGCCCTCTAACTCTTGATGGACATTATCTTCATCAAACGAAAAAAATCTTGTTCTTCGAAGTCGACAAGTCTTTTTTCGCAACGGCGCCAAAATTGGCGTTTTTCGCTGCCGCGGGGGCGGCGCTTTCCACAGAAGCGGCTCCCAGCACAGAAGTGCTGTCCGTATGAAATAGCCGAGGCGCCGGATTTATTTTTCACTTTCCAGACAAAGCAACTCAAACAAAAACAACTTCAAACAGTTTCTGAAACCTCTAAACTTCCATTCCAAAAGCATCTCCTCTCCTCCCCCCTTTCCTCGAAATGTTCTACCACATTCAGCTGGAGCACGAGATTCAGCTGCACCCGCGGTACTTTGGCCCCAACCTGCTGGACACGGTGAAGAAGAAGCTGTTCAAGGAGGTGGAGGGCACCTGCTCGGGCAAGTACGGCTTCGTCATCGCCGTGCTCACCATCGACAGCATCGGCGACGGGGTGATCCAGTCGGGGACCGGCTTCGTCACCTACCTCGTCAAGTACAAGGCGATCGTCTTCCGGCCCTTCAAGGGCGAGGTCCTCGACGCCATCGTCACGCAGATCAACAAGGTGGGCATCTTCACCGAGATTGGCCCGCTCTCCTGCTTCATCTCCCGGCACTCCATTCCCGCCGACATGGAGTTCGACCCGAACGCCAATCCGCCGTGCTACAAGACGAAGGACGACGAGATGATAATCAACCAGGACGATGAGATTCGCGTGAAGATAGTGGGCATTCGCGTCGACGCGACGGACATCTTTGCGATTGGTAAGCTGATGGTGTTCTGTTTTAGCATTCTGAGGATTAACTTTTTTGTGCTGACTTTTTACAGGTACGCTAATGGACGACTTTTTGGGCATTCAGTGAAAAGTGGTCTAGATTTTATTAGCTGCATCATTCAAGGTATCTTTTGAAAATCCGTCACTTACGACAATTCTTATAACATCTTTCTCATTCCTCAGTTTCACCACTCGTTTGCACATCCCTTCCTAACATAACCTATTCATTATTCTTCTGTACATAAGCATTTCAAAAAGCCTCTTTCTGGTTTTCTGGCACAATAAAAACCGGTCAAAATTCCATCGTTTGTTTTTCGCCGCAAGCACGTCCTCTGCGTACGGCAGTCTGTTTACGACAGCGGCGATTTTTGGCACCAAATGAATGTGCACATTTTTTGCGGCACTGTCATCTCTTCTTTTCATTTCTACTTCTCGTTGCGTCAAGTCTTTTTGAGCCATCTTGTTCCAACTTTGAGCATCTTTTCTAAAAAAGTAGCACACCATGGACGACCTTCAACAGCAGGAGAGAGCCAAGGAAGACCAGGCCCTCAAGGAGAAGTTCCTGCTGAGCATCGGCAAACTGGTCAACACTGATCAACAACCAAAAGAGGTGGACTTTGTCGAGGAAGTTTCGAATCTGCACGCCCTGCTCATCGCCTCCAACTACCGCCAGATCCGCGACATTGCCGGCCAGCTCGACCTAGGTCGCCTCTTTGACCTCTTCAACAATTCGCCGGTGTTTGCCGCGGGCACTCCCGTTCCCGGCCAAGTAGAACTTCTCGATGTGATGAGCATGCTGCTGGAGGCGCTGAACGGCGGCGAAGTTCTAGTCAAGTACTACGACCACGTCGTCGATGGCCTCGACGGCGCCCTCCGCCCTCTGCAGATTGTCGACCTGTGGCTGAAGAAACTGGTCAGGCCGGTCTTCAGTAGCGAGGGCCAGCTGAAGGTGGTGGTGAACAGCTCGGTGAACATCAACGGCCTGCTCCGCTCGACGGTCCGCCTGTTGGCCGCCGAGGACACCGGAGTGGCCGCCGCCGCCCACGACATCTCGGTGGTGGCCGCGAAGGCCTTTCGCCAGAACTTCTTCAGCCCAGTGCTGATCGAGGAGCTGCGCAAGCTGAAGGACTACAAGGGCAGCTACTCCGCCGATCAGGCAAGCCAGAAGCGGTTGAAGAACCTGAAGACGGTGGACCGCGAGACGGTGCAGATTCGCCTCTACGAGGTAGTGGTCGACGTGTCCACCGCCAGTCAGCTGCAGCTGGATATGATGAAAGCGAATGGCCTGCTGCCCGAGCTGGTGGCCGACTTTGAGGCGAAGCTCTCGGTGGACCCGCTGGTCGCCCTGAACATGCTCAAGCTGATGACCGACCTCGCCTCGAAGCCGCACACTATCGCCTACCTGCGGACGTCCACCTCGGTGCTGCAATCGGTGGCGAAGCGGCTGGAGCTGAAGAAAGAAGGTCGAGGAGAGGGTGAGGAGGACATCTGGGACGCACTTATCCTCCCCGGCTGCATCAACTTCTTCATCCGCCTCGCCGAGTTTGACCTCTCAGTTCTTGAAGATAGCAAGTACGGCGACCTGCTGGAGGCACGCCTGCTGGCGATGCTTTCCCCAAACTCCTCTAGCACCGAATCGCTCGTCCTCGCCGTGGACAGCGTCGCCTACCTCTGTCGGAAGAACGCCGGAAAGCGGTTCGTCGGCGAGCAGAAGCCGACACTGGCGACGGCCACCCTCGACCGCATCGCCGCCATCATCACCGGCGTGGGAGCTACCGAGCTGAAGGCTCGAGCCCTCTCCGCCCTCGCCAGCATGCTCGAGCTGACCGACGACTCGGACCCGGGCTCCAAGGCGGCCCAGCTGACGGAGAGGTGGTACCAGCGGGTGGACCAGGCCGGCGCCGGCCTCCCAAAACTCATGGCCATCCTCGCCGAGCCACTGCCCGAGCTCCGCCTGCCCGCTCTTAACCTGCTGCGCGTTCTCGCCACCACCGCCTGGGGCCAGCAGGCGTTGGTCACCGGAGCCCAGGGTGGCCCAACAGCCTTCCTCGACTACCTCCTCGACCGGCGGACGGAGACGACGGCGGAGGGCCGTGAGGCGAAGTACGCCGTCGTCCGCGAGCTGGTCATGTCGCCCTTTGTCCGCCTCTCCTTTCCCCCGGAGTCGCTGCTCCGCCTGCGCGCCTACTACAAGGCGGGCGCCTTTGCCCGCGAAGCCGACGAGGAGGTCAGCGTCGCCTTTGGCAGTGCCTCATAGTAGAACCGGTGGAAAAGAGTGGAGTTCGGTTTATTGTTGTAAAGCGGAGATTTTTGTAGAAGGAGAGGAAATTAAGTTCATGGGTTCTTGTAATAAAGAGGTGGAGGGGGTTTGTATAAAGGAAATGCAAGCGTTGTGGACTTTGTGGACTTTCAAAAATGAGTCAAAAGAGAGAGGGTAAGTAAGTGGAATGTGTGGCGATTTTTGAAAACTGATTTTTTTAACTTTTTTTTCTTTCAGAGATCCTCCTCGCCAATCTCATCAAAGACGTTGTTCTCCACCAGACGACTGTAGCGGACCACTTGTTTGCTGCTGCCTCCGCCGTTTGCTGGATTTTTGCCGCCTGAATGGCTGGAATCGATAATCTCGATTGGACTGCTGTTGTTGCTGCTACTGGTGGTGCTCATGGAGGAGCTCATTGAGGAGTTGGCGGAACTCTTGTCACCTTTCACCGCCGGCTCACTTTCCGGTTGGCCGTTTGGATGATTATCGTTGGAGGTTGTTGAAGGAGTTGAAGTGGAGTTTGAACTAGTGGAGTTCGTGCTGACCGCACTGGAGAAGCTCGGACTGGTGTGGTAGTGGAGGGAGAGGCCCTCGGAGCGGAACTTCTTGCCCTCCCGCCGGACGAGCATCTCCTCGACCATCGCCTGGAGGCAGGTGCTGATGAGCACCGCCTGGGGACTGCTGATGCAGATCCACAGCAGGGTGCCCTGCTTCACCAGGTACTCGAAGGAAAGCTCGTAGCGGTGCTGGGAGGATTCTCTTGATCCAGAATCTTCGGAATCATTCGAAGTTTTAGGTCCTGAAGATGAGGACGTCGTCAGGCGCCAGCACTTGATGCGAATTACCCGAAAGACGGTTTCCTCCTGTGTGAATTTAAGTTTTAGGATTAGAAGTTTGATCATTTTTGTTAGGAAAAGCTTTCAGAAATCTACTCTTACATTACTGCCCACCAGCCGCACCACCAGCTCCTGATTTCCGGCGCAGATCTTCACCGGGCTACTCTGTCTACTACTACTTCTGATGAAATTATTATCGTCAGCTCTACTTGCTCCATTCAAGGTCGCCAGCGCAAAGAGGTGATCACAGGTGCACGGCTCAAAGTGCACGTACCCGTAGAACTTGAGCGTTCGGGCGAGGCGGAGATACTACAAAAAAGGAGTTTAAAAGTTAGAAAAATAATCTTCAAAAACTCCTTTTTCTCTTTTTTGTTTACCTCGACCTTCTCTCCCATGGCCTGGAGAGCGGTCAGCCGATGTCGCACCTCCTTGCTGGCCACCACATGGCCCTTCTCCACCTCGTGGTGGGCAATCAGGTAGAGAACGTTGAGGGCGACCCGGTCCCCAAAGAGGTCCTCGTCGAGGGCGGCGTCCCAGTAGGACTTGCGGATCATCACCAGGAAAGACGGAGGGTTCGAAGAAGTCCCATTCTGGACTTTAATTTGTGAACTGCTGTTTTTTAGCTTTCGCTCACTGGCCACCAACGTCAGGTAGGGTGACTCGTAGTTGGCCAGTCGCCGGACGACACGAAAGTCTACCGAGGAGGGCGTTTCCACCCGTCGAACGAGGTACAGGCAAAAGTACGGGAGAAGGCGCTCTCCGAGGCCAA